CCAAGTTGCCGGCTGGGCTTGAACCGTGACACCTCCTGACCACAAATCGGCTACCAAACCCTCCCAGCGTCAGGGCAATTTGCACAGAAACCTTTATCAGCTGTGATGCACTGGAGCACTCTCACCATGGCCTCCCCATCGTGTGTGGCCACATGGTCCCCTATGAATTGCTGTAGGGCCCCAGTACCATCACATCTCCTCTGGCCCCAGAGCCATGGCAGCTTCAGAGCTCCCTGTGGGCACCTCATGTGAAAGAGTGCAGAAGCCTCCAGAAGAGACGCTGGGTAGATGTGAGCACAGTTATCACTGATCAGCTTTATTTTTCTGACTGGGAATGAATGCGGTACTGTTCAACATCTGCTACGTTTGCTCTCAGGGGTATCTGAGCTAAACTGAGATCTCTCAGCTGTGCACTCAGGCTTTTCCATATCTTAACTTCATTGATGTCTGTATTAAAACCCAGCAGTAATGTAAAATTGGGAGGTAGCGTCCCAAGTGGAAGGACACGATTTTTTGTGTCACTTAACATCCTTGGGCTAAATTTTTACATTACAGGAACTTTTCTCATAAAGACTTTTGTTTCTGCTAATGTTATCTGCAAAACATTGTTATCCAGGTGCCTTGCTCTGCCTTGCAAGTTAGTCCCTGTGCCTGCTGGGTCTTTTGTGGTTCATACTCTTACATTTTTTCCAAGAGAGAAGTCAATGTACTGGTACATGAGGCAATATGCCCTGCCCCACAAGGTGCAGCTACCACTGCTAGGGCTCTGGAAATCATGAGGAGCTAGAATCAAGTCTCTCCCAGGGTTTTATGTGGGGTCTGCCAGTGACCTGTTGTGTGCCGGCCCTGCTGAATCACTGCCATCCCCCTCCCCTCTTCAGAGCTCAGTTTCTCTTCCTGCTCCCTGGGAATAATCCGTAATAATCCTTTGTAATCTGCAGGAGTTCAGTAGAGATGCAGGTTTAAGAATACAAAGAGTCCAGGGGTCAGACATATTTGTCACAGCATGCAGGATACATCTGGTACTCCTGCAGAAGTCGTGCACTATCCAACATGGACATGTAAGACCTAAGACTGCACATGAGCCTCTGACTGCAGTGTGTATGTGTAACAGGCATGAACCTCACCAGATTCAGAAAACCACCACTAAAGAATATAAGCTTTTCACCTTAAATATTTAAAGAACAGACAAGAAGCCTCTGAGTTTTGTTACCATTCATGTATACATTTATTAAGCCAAAGCAGTTTGATCATGTCACAGTATGTTACTAAAGCACATGAGATCCCTTCTTTTTAACTTCACTAACAATGGTCATTTTAATTATTTTGTCTTCCAAGCTTAAAAAAAAATATTCTTTCTGCATTCTTCATGAAAGGCTCTTTTATGGTTTATGGGGTTTTTTTCTTTTCTTACAGTACAAAATGAATGTTTCTCAGACATGTAAACAACCATCACGAAAATGAAACTGCTCTTAAAGTTAACGTTTTTGTCATGGACGTTCTGTTAGATTTGTGTTAGATGCATTTCAGCTCAGTGGCTCCTTCAATGAAAGTTACTGTTGTTATCATCACCTGCACCACAATAGTGCCTTAAGGCCCTGGTCAGGGTTAAGGCCCTTCTATGCAGGTGCTGTACAAATACTTCAGCGTAACCCCGAGGTCCCCGATAAGAATGGCATGGCTTAGGTGGCTATAACCCTCTCTGCTTGCCTCTGCTCAGCAGTGACCCTCACAAACGATAGGAGCTGAGTGAAACTCTTCTCCAAACTAAGTCTGGAGTTGATGCACAATGACTGTTTGAGAAGTGTTGCTACAGGCCAATCCTGACGCCTGCAGTCCTGTGCGTAAAGCTGCTCACACTCGGGGGAATGCTCATGTGAGTAAAAAAATCCTGTGGGGAAGGTCTGCAGGATTGAGTCCCAGGATGCATGCAAGAAAAGCAGACTTGTTCCTTTTCTCTAAGGTTTCAATATAATTCTAAGAGAAAAATGGACAGGGTCAATTGCTCAGTTTCAGCACCTCCAGCACTTTGAGTTCTGATCCCAAATTAAAGAAGTCTCTGCTCTGCCTTGGGCTACTGTGACCAGGCCTGGAAAAGTCTATTGTCATCTTTGTCATCAGGAGGCAGTGATTCGCCATTACAGCATGGAGGGCAAATCACTGTTTTATGGTGTGAAGGCTGCATCTTAGGCAGGAATTGTGAAGACTGTGTTTGGCCATCAGCAAAAATTATTCTGAAAACATTTCAAAGCAATTGCAGTTTAAAAAATGATTGTAACTTGGAAATTGAGGTGCAAAAAAGAAAAAAAAAAAAAAAGGATTACATGAAATAAATAGCAAAGAATCAATGTCTCTGCACAAACATAACGGATTCCTGCCTATGAAGCATCCCTTGCAAATTATTGCCCTTTAGGTTATGTCAGATGTTTAAATGAACCCTTTAGAGCTAAAATACAGTACTCTGAAATGAGGTTAGAAAAACTTTAAAAGGACTAATGGGAAGTGTGTACAATGCTCTCTTTACAATGGATTTCCCAGCTGGGTAGCCTCAGTAGACATAGAGCCGGTCAGAAATGGCAGCAGGCATGTGCGTCATGATCTGCATGCGGAGCCACCAGTAGTAATCCATGGGGTGGTAGCGGGTGTAGGGGGCAGTGGAGGTGAGCGCGTGGGTCACGCTCTCAATGACAGGCGAGGTGTCCGTGGAGCCGCTGTTGCAGTATGTCTCCATCTTGCTGACCTGCTCGTCAAAGTACTTCCTGCCATAGTCTTTGCGCACTATCTCAGGGAGCTCGTCCCACATTTTGTCGGCGATGGCTTTGATGCGCTCGGGGCTGTACAGGTTGGTGGCAGCTATGAAGTTGCCAGGCTCCACGATGCTGACCATCACTCCCTGGGGCTGCATTTCGTACCGCAGGCAGTCGGAGAAGGCTTCCACGCCAAACTTGGTGATGCAGTAGGGTGAGCGGGCAGGACTGCCCATGCGGCCCATCATGCTACTGATGTTCACCACACGACCTAGGCAAAGCACAGCCCAGCTGTGGTACCTCATCCAGAGCGGACACCCGACACACCACCCAACACATTCCGGCACCTACATCCACCTGCCCACTACATATCCATAAGGTCTGCCTGGCACACCTGGCTCTGGCTCTATCTGAGCACTGCTATTCTATGCAACAGCCTTCACGCAGATCAAGTCCACTGCTTGTGTGCCCTGGCTCATTATACCTGAGGGAACAGGAACACGGTGACACACAAAGCTCAGTGCTATGGAGAACACAGAAGAGTCTGGACAGAGCCTGCATGGTGAGAAACAGGACTGCTCAGCAGCAATGAGGGCTGAGCCCAGACAAGAGGCAAAGAAAGCCTCTGGCACGAAGTCTAAGCTTGTTTATTTGCAAGTCAAAGGCACAAAATCCAGGAGCCCAATGATGGCTTGTAATGTCTGTCTCTTAAAAGGGAATGGATTGCTCCTGCACTACAAACTGGCAGAATCTAAATCCACTGCACCCTTTTTGTGTAACAGCTGGATTATAGCTCAAGGCACAGAGCTGGGGCCTTTCTCCTCTCCAGAAGCCATCCATTTTGGCTGGGGAGAATGCTGGTAGAAGACTGAATGCTGTATTCTAATCAGAGGCTGCAGTTCTTTGCACCTTCTTTCTATCAGTGCTCACTGCTGAGTTGTGTTAGAAAGAGAAACTTTGACCACAGAAGAGGATACCCTTCCATGGTAGAAGAAGTGCTGCCTGGGCCACTATAGTCCAGGTCTGCACCACAGGACACTTGTCAATGTCTGTGGATGCTTCAAGAGTACAAAAAATATTCTGATTTAGTCAAGATAGTTTGCCCCAGTAGAGGAAAGCTTTTGCCCCTTTATGCCAAGACCCACACAAGCTCCAGGTCTGCACTCCTTTCCTGTACAAACCCTACCTCTCACACATTACAAGCTCCCAAAATAACACAGCTGACAGCTGACAACTTCCCTGCAAGAAGCATGTCATAGTGCACTGCTGCTGTCCACCCTGCCAGCACTGGCCCAGGTGGTTTGTGTAGAGGGGAGGATTGCTCCTGGCACTGGAATTTAGGGTGAGCTGTTCTTCAGGCCTGCTGCCTTGCAGCATACCTCAGAGCAGTTAGGTAATCTGTCATCTGTGTGTATGCCATGGGCCACATTCTGGTGTAAAGGTATGAAGGTGGCCAGTGGTGAAGAGAGAACCTTTTGGCCATTAACACAGCAAGACATGGGGCAGGATGAGGGACCTGCTCCAGGTCAGGAGATCACTCACCCTTTGACCTCCGGATGAGCGGGAGGAAAGCCTTGGTGGTTCGCACAGTCCCCCATAGGTTCACTTCAGCTACCTCCATGTAGGTGTCCATGCTGGTGAACTCAACTTCCCCGAATGTGGAGATCCCAGCATTGTTAACCAGTCCCCAGAGCCCTAGAAGATAAAATCAAGCAGAAAGCTTTCCCTCTGTGAGACTAATGAGAGAAGCTTGGAAAAGGCCTTGCTAATAGATTATTGGAACCACACAATAGAGCTTTTCATTGCAACTTGTAATGATGGAAGACAGACAGAAGAGTCCAGAGCGAACTTTAGTCTCCTGAGCAAATGTAATCACAATCAGGATCTGCCTGCACTGCCCAACAGTGCAGCCACAAAGTTCCATGAATAAGGCTCCCTGGGAAGTTCCGAGCCAGCAAACAGAGATCTTCATCCTTGTCTAAGTTGTTCTCCTTGCCGTTCTCTTTTATCCATTGTGAATTTTTTAAAGCAGCAAAGTATAGTCTCTAAATGCAAATAATAATAGGCAAGACCTTGAAAGAAACAAAAGAGTAATTCTTTTAAAGTAAAATCCCTTGTATCACCAGAAGAACTAGAATGTTTGCAATGCTGGGAAGGGGGCATGAGTAGACATAATACCATAGCCTCTCCCTTTTACTCTGCTGCAACCAAACTGGCAACAACTGAAACTACCAACTCATTTGGCAATGAAAAGAAATATTAAAAAGGAAATTGGAATAAAATTAACTCAATTCATATAACATTCTAATTGCACAGGAAAAGTCTGGGATGGCTTCTCCCTGCTGTTTTGAAAAACTCACTGTTACCTTTTGACTGTGTCCAGATCTGTGTTCTCAGAAGCAGTCCAGAAAAGGCAACTTCATTCTGGCCTATGCTTAAGAACACAGGGCTGGAAAACTCAATTCATATAGAAGATCCACGTATGAAAATTAAATTTAAATAAAAGTGAAAGAAATAGGTTTATGCAAAATCCAAAATAAAACATTACTGGTTGTTCTGCTTTTAAACAATCTTCGTACGCTCAAGGTGCATATTCTTTAGAGGGAAAAAATGTAGTTCACTGAAGGGTGAAAAGGTTTCAGGAACTGGGATTTTCACTGTACCAGAGCAGAATTTGCTGTCATCACCTCAGCACAATGAGGCAGGCAGGCTAAGAAAGTCAGTTAGTTACAGCTACCCCCTGAGCTCTGAAATCTATAATAGATGATAATATCTGCGATAGCATTGACACTCAGCTGGCTTCATGGCAAATCCTTTGGAAAACCTCTTCATTTCCTGTGCCTTTTCTAAGTTTGAGGGAGACATTTCCACTGCTAATCTCCAAACTCTGGACACTGGCCAGATTTTACAACATAAATGGAGTCATAATAAACTTCAGGTCACAGGAACAGAGCACTAATCCCACCACCATCCTGATTTCTACTTATGTCCCTATGGGAGCTAGCGGAGAAAAGAAGCAGTTTTCTTTCTAGATGCTGTCTTAAGTGGGAAGCTGCTTTCTTCCTACTTCAAGTGTTATAGCACAACACTTAAACAGGCCATTTGCTCTGCCCTGCTGCTCCTCAGAGTTTTGCGCCCTTCAATTATATATACCCTGAAAATGCTCTCAGAGGCCAGCTGAGGGAGCTCTGCCACCTACGTGACCTTACAGCCCACTGCAGGCACCTACCCTTCTCTGGGTCCTCCAGGCTGTTATTCACATGCTCCACTGCTCGGTCTACTTCTTTGCTGTCACAGACATTCAGCTGGACTGTTCTCATTCGATCACTGTTCATGCTGTCCAGTTCCTTGGACCCACCTTCTCCCTTGTCCTAGAGGGGAAGAAAGCACTGACTGGAATCTGCCCAAAGAACTTGTGTAGAAAATCAAATGCATAGCAACCATCAAATCAAACAAAAGACAGTGCACAAAGCAGTCACAGAATAATCAGAAGTCCTGCAGCTCTGAGAGGAAGGGATGGACAGGGCTGCTCCTGCAGAACACCATTCCTCCAGTCCTCCATCTGACCATGAGCCCTGCCACCAAATCAGCTGGTACAAACTGCTTTGACCACCAAGAAAACAGTCAGAGCTGGAGGTGCCCCAGCTAGGGAGCTCCTGCCCAGTACAAGCTCCTGAGATCAAGCTATGCCCCACTGCTGCAGTGAAAGGAACATGGTGCTATTCTCACTTTGGCTTGCATGTGTGGCACAGCAAACGCTTGGCAGGGGTAGGTATAAAACCCCTGCTGAGTGGCTGCACATGCATGTTGCACATCCTTCGCAGTCATGCGGCCAGCTCTGGGAGTGAAGCTCCTAGAAGGGAGGCTGTCTGCCCACTGCTCTCTCCCTTAAGATGATTTACACACACAGCTCTCACAGCCCAGAAACCCACCTACTGCCGCCAAGGCACTCCTACAGAGACCAATTGCCAAGTGCCTGGCCAGCTTGCCTGCTGGCAATTCCCCCTGGTGTCTTTTCCAGCATCTTGCTCTCTTCTCTGCCTCCCTCCATGAGCTTTTTCTCACTCCTGTTTCCCATCTCCACTTTTTTCCCAGCTCAGAACAACAGATTCCCTCAGTATACACATATCCACTCACAGCCCGGCCAATTAACTGTACTCAGAGCTAGTCCCTTCATAGCAGTGAAGCATGGCTATGTTTCCAGGACAGAGACACAGTTTATTAACATGAGTTTGGGACTATTCCTGAATCAATCCTGTGGTTGGAAGCTACTGGACTGTGGTGACCACTCCAGGGTACTTTTGTAGAGGATGGTGAGGTCTAGCCTGAAAATAATCATTTTTTTGGAACATCCCTGTCTTTACTGTAAGAAACTCCCTCTGTTCCCTCAGTATCATCCCTCACTAGAAGTCTTTTACTCCCCATTAACAGGCTAGACATGGAGCATGTCCCACAGGATCACCTGATGGCTGCTCAGCTCTTCCCCCACCACTCAATCCTCCAGGTAGCCCCACTCACTGTGTCAGCATCAGCAGGCAAGCACTGGAGTGCTCTTCACTCCTGACAGATGGGGCTTTTTTGCACAGATAGCTTTTTTCCCTCTGCCTGGAACAGGCCAGTTCTTCATAGCAGGGCTGTTTTCTGCCTGCTGAATGACATCAGATTGTTCTAAACACCTTGAGCCACAGGCAGCTCCCGTCAGAGACTGCCGGCAGTCAGCTGACAATGAAACGGTGTTCATCTCTGCAGTCTGAACCCAGGCTGCCCATTTTCTGCCCCAAGGCAGAGTTCCCTTCAGACACCACACTTCAGATACTACACAAGGGTGACCATATGTCCCCCTATCTCTGTGCCACCTGTCTTCCAAAAAACCTTCTCCTGGCTCCTCTCATTCCTGGGCTTATCCATTGTGCTCTCACAGTTCACTAACTTAAGTACCTGATGTCTTCTTCTCCACCCTTCCTTATTCCACTGCAGACTGTTAATGCTGGTTAGTATTTGTCCTTAAGAGAAGGCATCTACTGCACTCTCTTCACACAGAAGTGCACTGCATACAAAATGGAGCAGTTAAAAGTCCCATGCACAACCTAGTAGTGTTTATTTCTACAGTGACTGGAACAGTTTTGTGTTAAGTTACTGCTCACTCAACAGCACTGAGGTGCCAAAGCCAGTGTGTATGCCAAAGCATTGAAAAACATGCAAGTGGCACATGTGGGAATGCCAGCAGGGAATCAGCAAATACAAGCATGCAAGTCCCTTCAAAAAAGCAGATATGGCTAAAAAGGAAGAACAATGAGGCCAATGTGTTTCTTTCACTGATCCCAGGTTTGTAAGGTGCTACAAAACCCCTGGGCCATGACAACACACCAGCCTCAGAGGCCTTGTAAGCTCTACTGGGGCCTACACAACATCCTCTTCTTCCTCCCTTAAGGGTTGGCTCAGGAAGCCAACATCCCTCCTGCCCTCTCACCCACATGCAGCTGGGTGCTTGGACAGGGACCCTTAAGGCCGGGATCCTGAGCAAGAGTTGGACTCTGGGCATGAACCCAGACCCACAGGGCCATTCCTTTGGCTCTCTGGAAAGGGCAGATGGGTGGTGTTTAAGGCAGGCACCCTATGATTGTGTCATGCTCTCCTGGCACGGGATGCAGCCATCCCATAACCCTAGGCTCATACCCAGCAGTGAAAGGACCTTTTCGCACTACGCCAAAAGACCAGTACACCTCTGCTATGAGCCCCAGGGCCTGCTGTCCCCATGGCAAGAGGGCCCAGCTCTTGCATACTGAAAAAGCACATCGTTGCCTCATCTTCCTCTTAGCATGGTCATCTTCTGGGGTCCGTGGGCTTCAGCTTGCATCTTTATCACTGTGTCTTTGAAGTGGTATGTAGCACCCTGTGCCTCTGAGCACTCTTGTTGAGACCTACAGTAACTGGTCTGCATGCTGGCTTGCTCAGATAACCTCTGCCTTCTCATCCCCCTGCACACTGCAACAGGCCTGAGCACACAAAGCAAAGCAAACAGGAATTCCATAACACTCCTGACAGCTGTGACAAACATCACATAATGTCCACTGGTGTAAGATACTGATGGAAAAATACCTTCTTCATCTTGTGTCAGCTGGCTCCTCCAGCTATTGACCAAAGAGGAAAAAATAAGACAGCCGCAGCTCGATCATTCATTGGATCCAGTCTACCACTGTCTTTTGGCAATGAAGTACCAACACAACTGTCACATGAATATATTTGCCGGTGAAAATGTTAGGAAGAAACTGTGTGTGAAATAGCAAACTGTTAGCACAGATCCATCCTCAGGCTCCCCTCAGTCGTGGCTCTAAACACCTCTCTCAGGTTTCCTTCAGTAAAAATAGTCAGGCACTCAGGATCTGGCACTCCAGGAAACCTTTCCTGGTGAAAAGTCAGCACTGCACATACTTTTAATTTGCAGTAAGGATGTGATGCTCCCAAGAACAGTACATACCCTGAGGACATGATGGCTTCCCAAGCTAGAGTATGCTTCTGATGTGCAGGTGTGCTGTGACAAACAGTCCCATGAAAATAACACTGAAGTTTCATAGCCATTTCCTCTCTGTCAGGGCTAGGTCGAATATACCCAAGCAAAAGATGATGCTTCTTATTTCTACCTCCACTTCTACCTAGCATCTAAAAACATACCAGGCTTTTTCTGCCCCTAAAATCAGCACCAGCAATAATTAATACTGATCAGAATTCTGCTTACGGTTTTGCTGTTGCAAATAAGAAACCAGCTCAGTCTCCTGGAGTTGTCTTAGTTCTACAGAGCAGTACTACATAAAGTATATGCCATGAAGGCACACAGGAGGCCAACTGGTTAACTAAGGAGCTTTGGCATTTTACAGTGTTTTTCTGATGACAACTGCTGTTACCCGTCTTGTCATAGTCACAGAGATTTTGGAACATGGGATGAGCGTCCAGCTAAATAAAAAAATATTTAATTACACAGTGATACAGCAAAGCCTTTTACTGATTTTTGGCAATGAAATAAATGTTGATCAAAGCCTAAAAGAGTTCTGGCATGCTGCTGCATGTCAGCTTATGCTGAAATTGTCAGGTGCCCAGATTTTCTGCTAACATGCATTCAGTGGAACGAGTACTGAAGACACCAAAATGGAAGGGAAGTTTCAGTGACAGTTAAAGAAACGCTCACTGAAATACAGGTCTCTCTGGCAGCTCAGACAGAGGAAGTGAAACCAGAAGTAACTTTGCAGCTCTGAAATTTTTGGCTCCTGTCGACATAGAGGCAGGCTATTATTCTAAATAGTGAGTTTTAAGTTTGCAACATTCTTATATTTTCTAATGTTGACCCACAGTTACAAAAGCTGAGTAGAAACATCTGCCAAAAGTCTACCCTCTCTCTTGACACCTTTTGAAAAGCAGCAGTTTGTAAGACGTGTCTTGTTCTACTGTAAAGCCTGTAGAGGGAGCCCAGGTTAACAAATAAACCCTTGACCCAAAGCTGAGATACCGCAAGGAACAGAGCTATGGAAACACAACCTTCTCTCGAAAAAATGCAGCAGAAAGAAACTAGTAACTTAAGCAAAACTTAGTAATAACAAAAAAAAAAACCAAAACAGTAGAAAGAGTATGGATAACAAAAAAACACCTGGCAAATTCTCTTTGAATAATATAACTATTCAAGATACATTTATAGTGATGAGCAAACTAAAAGATTAGGATCATAATAACTGACCTACCCCAGGATATCCTGAGGAGTAAGTTTGCTTTTGTTGGGAAATGACCATGCAGCTAAAAAAGTGCAGCACTTCATAGAGAGGCTAAAGCTCTCTCCTATTCTCCATGACCAGGCATCTCTGACTGCTATACAGAGCCCTCCTGAAGAGTGTGCCAAGATTGCACCAGTAAGCTATTTGTGGCCTGTTTCTGCTCTCATCTGCACTAGTGGAACTCTTATCACTTTCACAGTGATTTCAGATGACCCTCAACACACACTGATGTACAGCTTTACTCATGAATATAGAAAAATATGCTTATACCATATGCCATAAAATCACTGGTGGCTTGATGTACATCAAAATTAGAGATAAACCCTGCACAAATATGTGTAGTCTGAGAGCAGGGCCAATGGTCCAGACTTAACCTGATCCCAAAATTTGCTTATGGATAAGCCTATAAAATTAGATTCAGGGTTCCAGTTCATCAGATATGGAACAGATCACAATGTTGTGATTCAGATAAGCAGCTCCTCATGTTCAGTCCTGGTTCTGGTATAGACCAGGCTATGTTTTATGAAATTCAAGCACCCATGTCTTTCCCTTTGGGCTATCAACCACCCTCCTTCTCTTCAGGAGAAAGCTGTGCAAAGTGGAGAGGGAAGACTGAATTTGCTACATGTCTGCTCACATGCCACACGTGAAGAACAGTTTTTGTTTTCCCTACCTTTTGCAGGCAGCCAGCGTAAATAACGAAGCCTTTGGCATGCAGGTGCTTGGCCAAGGCAAATCCAAAGCCTGAGTCACAACCTGTTATAAGCACAGCTCTGCTGCCAATCTGCAAAACAAAACAGAACAAAATGCACTGGAACTGAGTATTTGAAACCAGTGATTTGTAGTACACTGAACAAAACCATGTCCTCTGCCAGGAGCAGTCTGTCCCAGGGACGTTCCCTACACTTATTGCCAATACTGCCACCCAGTGCCTCCTGGAGACAAGAAAGGAAGGTTTCATATGGAGTTCGCTCCAGTGAGGTAGGATCACTGTCCTCCCAACACAAAAAGAATGTTGGGCACTGTCCTGGGTTCAGCTATAGCAGTCATTTTTTCTCCTTCTTAGTAGCTGGTGCAGTGCTGTTTTTGACTTTCAGCCTGGCAACAACGCTGATAACACCGATGTTTTTAGTTGTTGCTAAGTAATGTTTACTCCGACCAAGGACTTTCTCAGTCTCATGCTCTGCCAGGGAGGAGGGGAAGCCGGGAGGAAGCAGAGACAGGACACCTGACCCAAACTGGCCAAAAGGGTATTCCATACCACAGCACATCATGCCCAGTATAGAAACTGGGAGGGAGTTACCTGGAAGGCCCAAATCACTGCTCAGGTCGGGCTGGGTATCAGTTGGTGGGTGGTAGAGCGGTTGTATTGTGCATCACTTGTGTTTATTGTTTTCTTTTCCTTTTCCGCTTTTAGTTTCATATCCTCTCCCCTTCTTATTTCCCTTATCATTATTATTACTGGTGGTAGCAGTACTGGTTTTGTATTATACCTTAGTTACTGGGCTTCGCTTATCTCAACCCATGGGAGTTACATTCTTCCAATTCTCCTCGCCATCCCTCCGGGAGCAGGGGGAGAAAAACAGGGAAAGTGAGCAAGTGGCTGCATGGTTCTGAATTACCAGCTGGGCTTAAACCACAACAGGCACCTGTGGCAACAGGCTCCCAAGGCAGAGACCAAGCAAACCATTCTCTGGCAGTTCACATCCATCTCAAAATGTGAAAATATACGAAGACAGTTCCCAAGACATGTTTTCCTTCAGTAGGAACTGTTCCTATATGTTCAAAGCAGGCAGGAGCCCGCTCTTCTGTGCCATGCCGCCCGTAGGGCATGGGGAAGATAGGCTGGCTGAAGAAAGGATACGAATTAACATTACTGATTGCTCATTCATTTTCTCTTTCTAGCATGTAAACCCTCTAGTGCTGGGTTTTAGAAGCTAAGCAGAATCAAATGGATTTAATATTTGAAATTAAAACTGGTTGCTCATCAGTCTCTTTGTTTGTTTTCTGGTGATCTTATTTTTCCAATTCAAAATTTAAACAGAAGTATACTTCCTTTTTTCTCCAAACCCCTTCTTCTAACCCAAAGAGAGCCAGCAGTTCAGTGACATGTTAAAGATTGCACGGCTTATCAGACATTCCGGCAGCAACAAATGTACATATGGCAAGATGCTGCTGTGGGTAGGATTAGGTAATAATTACTCACAATCATTCCAACTCATCTCTTAACAAACTAGCAATGTGGCTTTCCCCAGCATACATAGGGATTCATCAGGCTCACACTGGAAGCCCAGAAGTGATGCAAGGGCCATATCTGAATTTCTCTGAGGCTGTCCCAGTATTATGGAGCAAGATGTGTACGCTCTAGCACTGCTACAGTGCTGAGTTCTGTACCTCAGGTAAGTAGGCAGAACATCCCCCTTCCTATTGCCTAGCACTGTTCTAGCAAACTAGCACCTTCCAGGAGAGGCCTGTTAAACAAGAGGGCCACTCTCTGGATCAAGAGATGAGGACACACTGATTTATTTATGTCTTTTTACACAACCATACTCCAGAAAGAACACTGTATTAGGAAGTTGTTATGCAAATTCCTTTCACTCTAAGGTGGAAGATTTCATTTGCTGAGTGAGTTCCAAAAATAGAAAAAACCTTGTAGTCTGATTATTTCCATCCCTAGCACCATGCTACGTCAATGGAAGCTCTCTGCTAGGAAAGAATGTGGAGTATGTTGGAGAGGTCCAGCTCAGAGTCTTTCTGGCAAATCGGAAAGAAGAATTTGGTCACCAGGCTCAAGGGATTTTAAACCCCCAGCTCAATAGAACTAGTTCCTGGAAAACACAATCACACTCACCTGATCGACTTCACTTGCATAAGAGCGGCTGTCACATGAGGACAAGAGAGGGAGGCAAAACCTTTGCATGGGTCTGTTGGAAAAACAACAAACAATCAGGCACAAAGTATCTTCTCTGCACCCTGGTGCTGCAGCTTACACATGAAAAGGAATGTAGTGTTGTCTTTATACATGATGTAGACTGTCATTTGAGAAGACAGAATCCAACCTACAGTTCCCCTTAGTCTGAACCTAGGTGTTTTCTACTGTATAAAACATTTGTTTCTCCAAGGAGTTTGATGTTATTTCCAGGTGCAGAAGCTGTCTGGATATCACCAAGAATTCTAAAATAGCTCCTGGTCTGGAGGCACAGAGCTGCTTCCACTGCAAAATGGGCAGTACAGTCTTTTCATTTCCAACAGCAACAACACTCTCACTTAAGAGTTGCACAAAGCTGGGGTAGAGAAAGTTATTCATTTGTTTGATGAAAGTATTTTGCCATGGCATCGCCTCTGATTCCCAGCCCAAGGCTGAACTTCCTTGGATCTATCTTCCTGCTTTTACACACAGCTCTACTCTCCTGTCATCTTAGATTACACTTCTTCCTCTGCAGCTTCTACCCATTAGATACTGTTAGATTTTATATCCCCTCTTTGCAACTGTCCAAGCTAAGAGACAGCACATCTTTTAATAATACCCGCCATGAAGGCCTGAAGCTCCTCCACATAGAATCTTGGATTCCCAGGAAGATAAACTACGTTCACAAAGACAGACCAAGCAAAGCAACAATGCCTTCCAGGGAGTGAGATTCTACTTAGAAAAGCTATGCTACCAGTAGCATCATGCTGTCTTAGGTCTTGCCATCATTCATCAAAACTGGGCCTAGACAACACACCAGAGCAACCCGAGCCTCTGTCCTTGCCAGCAATCTCTCTGAATTGCATCAATCAGCTTTTTCATTTTTGCTTTGGGCACTGACATTGCCCTCCCAGAGACTTCTGTCCTTCCCCTAGATTTGCTGTATTTTATCTACTCTAACAACATCTGTCTTTCAGCAGAGCTTATCTTCCAGGCTGTTCATCCTTGTAAGTGAACCTGCATCATCATTCACTATTCTCTCCTCAGACATCACAGGCACTCCCAGGGTGACCTGTGCTACACTGAGCAGCAACTTGCAGACACTCTGGCCTCTAAACTCCATCTTGGGAAAACAAGGCTAGAAAAAAGGTCTGCTTAGGCAGAAGCTTTGAACCAGATGGAAAATGAGCTGATTTATATTCAGGCAACAATGTTCACTCACCTTCCTGCATCAGGTTAGCTCCTTTTCTACCTTTGAGTGTCACAAACTCAATCATCTCTTGAAATAGCTACAGCCTATTTAATCACTGCAAAGGTCAGTCCCTAGGTGAAGACTGTCTTAACATCACTGACCTCCAAACCTGACCTGGAACTTTTATCTCACAAATAAACTTCTTGGTGTATCTTAAAGTGTCCAGAAATGTTGATAACATTTCTCTTAGTTGCATGAACTTGATTTTTATTTTTCAGTGTCATATCTGGTCCTGTTATTTCACCACAGAGCACTGATTTGCTGCACTCTATTCATAATAACCTGTAGAGAATAGCTACTTGACATTCTGCCTACCTTGACCTGAAGCCAAGGGCACCAAATAGATGCCAGCTGCTGATCAGCAGCAGTGTCACCAGAGGGAACAGCTACGAAGCCTATGCAATGCTAGTCCCCACACAGTACGCTAATGTACCATAAGCCATTTCTGTCATTCTGCATGAATGAATTCTAGAGACCACAACTGAGAATTCTGAAGTGCACAGATGGTCCTCAAATTGAATCTGTGCCTGTAACCATGGATCACTTTTGTTCACTTACACCAAAAAAGGCAGTCCTCAGCTTGAGGAGTCAAGTATATACATGCTACCTCAATGTACGAAGATACTAGTATAGTGACAACAATGCCTTCCAGATGAACAGCTGGATTTCCGTTTCAGGTTTAGCAGCTTGTGGGTACTTCAAAAAATGCAACACATTTTTGCCCTGAGTACAAGACACACAAAGCACAAACACACAGCAAGCAAAACAGAAGAAGAATATGCTGAAAATTCTATTTTCAAGTGAATAAAGCACTAATTTGTACATTTAAGGACACAGCAGATTACTGCTGGCAGATGCCTGCTGGTGCAGCTTTGGGTTATGTGTGTGTAGTACATAGGAGACATAAGGCCTATGTCTGTTTGCACAGGAAAACTCTAACAGCTTAGCTATCTTTGGTCTCTGCAGCTCGCTGTTACGGGAGCCGTCCTTGATGGTGATAGTGCTGGACACCACTATCAACAGCAGTAGAACAATACTGAGGTGGCAGCTCTTGCTTAGCAGGCCATGAGCCATTTTTAAACAGCTTATGTACAATTAGTGGTAAACACACCGTTGTTTGGGAACCCTACTCTAAGCCAGTAAAAGCACTCAGCTTGCTCTGAATTTGGACTAGTAGGGTTCCCATCATATACCAATGTAAAAGGTATTTTTTTTAGAGCTAGGAATTAGATTTAGATAGGCAATTTTCTGTTCATGTTCAGAAAAAAACCAGCTTCATTACTCAGCTCACCTCCATTTCCCACTAAACCCCGCCCCCCTCAACTTTCATTTCATGTGATTCATGGCCTCTTTGATGAAGTTACAGAAATACATGAGAGTTTCTTGCTCTGCAGCAAGGCCTACTTGCTGGTATTCAGAAATAAATCCTTGCTTGACACTGAATTAATGCTCTGCTCAATCCCCTTTTGACTGCAGATGATTGTACAACTGTAAAAAAACCCAAACATGTTGCCAATCCCTCCTTGCAGATAGAGTCCATCTATGCTCAGCTCAATGACTGAGCACTGGCATGGGTTGCCCAAGCAGGTTGTGGAGTCTCCATCCTAGGAGATACTCAAAAACCATCTGAACAAGGTCCTGGGCAATCAGCTCTAGGAGATCCTGATTGAGCAGGAGGCTGGACCAGATGACCTCCAGAGGAGCCTTCCAACCTCAACCATCTTGTGATTCTGTAAATAAACTGTCTCACTGAAATTAAATGAGCCCTTGATGTGTGCTTTACTCAAAATCTCACTTTCTTCTCTTCCTCCACCTAGTTACTTACCTGAGGCCATTCACCGGGTCCTTGAAATTCAGGGCTTTCACAGAGAAGTTCAGGAGGGGCCGGGACAGCTTAGTAGCCAACATGCTTTCAATTAACACACTCTACCAACTGCAAGACTGTTCTTCCTTTGCTCTGCAATACAAGATAGCACCTGTTGCTCAATTATTTTGGAAGTCATGCTGACTCTATATATTTCAACATTAAAATAAAGTCCAAAGGAACTCATATTTCCCCCTTGCAGTCCCTCACACTGAGATAAAGAGCTCAACCTTCAACCGTCTCAAGATGCTTTTAAATAAGGAAAAAGATTTTAAGTGAAGTAACCAGCAGGGAGGCATTTAAAGAAAATGTCCATTTCTCCTTTAGCACATCTTTACCTGTATTCTCTGAAACAGCTAAAAGTTAAGGTACCTTCACAGAATATGATGTTTCAAGTGAGCTATATGAGACAGTGTTAAACTAAAATACAACTTCAAGTCATGGGTGATGTTACTTGTTCTGTAACAACAACTTGTTCTGTAACAACAACTAGCTTTACAGCTAGTGCAGCTATGCAGTTAAAAATACATTTCTTTCTAATTAAGTAGCAGGTGGCGCTGGACTATGCACAGGGAATTGCTGCTGAACTCACTATGGGGCAAAAACAGCTCAAGGAGAGTTAAGTACAGAAAGCTAGTTCCAATCACATCCATCCCGGATAAATCCGACCCAACACACACACAAAACCATCTCCCCAGCCTAACACCCAGCCCCCTTTATTATAGGGGAAACAGTGCTTAATTGTTAGTGCTCATCTGCATCTCTGCTGGGGGCAGGGCTGCTGCTGCGGCAGCATCGGGGCCTGCGGGAAACAGGCCTCGTCTGAAAACCGGGGCAACGACCACAGCAAGCGCCGCGGTGGGGCACCGAGCTCCGCGGGGATGTCTGTGCCCAGGAGGACCCGCTGGCTCCAGCAACCCTCGGAAACCCGGTGGGGGTTGATCAAACTCGAGAGCTCGGTCGCTACCCCCCCAGCTTGTGTGAGGAGTGCTGTAA